CATTTGCTTCATCTAAGTTCATGAGACAGGCTGCTAGAGGGTCTTTAACATTCAAGGTCTCATCTTCCTCCTCCATAATTATATCCATAACTTCTATTAGAGAGCAGTTAGCAAATTCACTTGGTCGCCGCATAGATTTCTGCACGTTGAATGTTATTTATGCATCATTTAGTCTCATTTTGAGCTCTCTAGTTTCACATGCAATTTACATCACTCCCAGTGGCCACGAATGGTCTTCCCAAAATTATGGGAATCTCCTCGTCAACCCGGCAGTCTAGAATGACAAAATCTGCTGGGAACACAAACTTCCCAACCTGTACTAATACATCATCAAGGATACCAGAGGGCCTCTTCACTGTCCCGTCGGCTAGCTGCAGTAACATGGACGCGGGTCTAGCTCTTTCAATGCCTAGCCTTTTGTAGATAGCCAAGGGCATCAAGTTTATGCTTGCCCCCAAATCACACAATGTTTTAGCAAAAGCATAGCTGCCTATCGTGCATGGGATTGTGAAACTCCCTGGGTCTGACAACTTCTCAGCTATGAGTCTCGTCACGACTGCACTACAGGTCTGTGTCAATGTAACAGTGGACAGGTCTTGGGAGTCGAATTTGAGAGACATTAAATCTTTCATCATTTTGGCATACCCATACATCTCCCGCAACACATCAATCAGTGGAATGTTCACCTGTATTTATTTCAACATCTCTATGAATTTCTTATATTGCTCGTCCTTCTGATATTTGGCCAATTCTGCGGGAATGGTGCTGGAGGTCGCTTCTTTCGTGTGATTTGAGTTTTATCTTGCTTAGGCACTGCTTCTACTATCGTTTCTTGTGCTAGCTCAGTCTCCTTCGCAATCTCTTTTTCTTTGCTTGTGCTCTCTTGTGCATGTTATACCGTCACCTCAGTTAACCCCGTTGAATCATCTATCTCAATGGGCACTGGCATAAGTGTTTCAGTAGGTTGGCTTTCGCGAGCAATCTCTTGCTCCAGATCTAGGTCTCTGCCATTTCATAGACTCACTTCCATAAGCTCTTTCGGCCCCTGATCTTTTAGATTGACTTGTGTGCCTACAGGTAACGTCCCTTGGGGACGATTGTTTAGAGCCATAGAAATCTGTCCTAATTGAATCTCATTACCTTTTATCGCTGATTCATATGAGTCCACTCTCTCTTGCATTTTTCCAGTTGTTGCAACATTCTGTTATTGTTGTCCAGCATTCCCTTGAGTTCAACAAACCCATCATTTTGTCTCACAATCTGTTGTTGTTGAGGTTGTTGATAAGCTAGTTGTTGATTTTGCTGGTTGTAACCATGTTGCCTTTGGTAAGGCACCACTTTACCCTGTGGTCGCATAGCTCCAGAATTGTTGCTGTTATTGTAGTGTTGTTGTGCTGGTCTATATTGTTGATTATGTTGTCCCCAATTCTGACCACCTTGCTTCTGTCCCCCATAGTTGGCTACATAGTTCATATCTTCCTGATAGTGCTGGTTGTCACCTTCTGCACTTTACGAGCATACATAAGGATGATTAATGCATGGTGTACATAAGCCCCCATTAGTTGCGTCAACTATGTGTACCTGCTATTTTTGGCCTGATTCATCGATCTTTTTGGTGAGGATACTCATTTGCGTCATTAGAGTGGCCATATTTTCAGCTATGGAGTTGTTTGGGTCCAAAGCCACTGAGTGAACTACACGAGTGATCGTAGAGTCTCCTGTCATCCATCGTGCATTCTCTGAATATTTTGCTCAAAAATGCTCCACCTGCTGAAGCATCAACATTGGCCTTTAAGCTGTCTGCCAGTCCCATATAGAATCTCTGCCCCAACGTCTGATCTGGAATGCCATGATGTGGACACTTAACCAGCATACCCTTGAATCTCTCCCACGTTTCTTGTAGTGATTCTGTCGGTCTCTGCCTGAAGCTCAATATATCATCAATTTGTTTGGCAGTTTTATTGGGTGGGTAGAACTTGTTCAAAAATTGCTTGACTAATTCTTCCCAAGTAGTGATGGAATTTATGGGGAGTGAATTAAGCCAAGTCTGAGCTTCTCCTGTCATCGAGAATAGAAACAACAACAACTTTATTGCTTCCGGTGTCACATTAGGTTGCCTTTACGTGACACATATCGACAGGAAATTCTTCAGATATTGCTGAGGATCTTCAACGTATGACCCTGAGAACAATCCCTTATTCTGCAACAAATGTAGCATATTGTTTGTGATTTGAAATTATTCCGCTTGTATCTGAGGGACTGCAATTACGGTTGCCAGATTGTCGGCGGTGGGTTGTGCCTAATCATATAATGCTACTTCTGGTACAAGAGGCACCACACCCTAATTGTTTGGTTCATTCGCATTATTTCTGTTGTTGATCGGATTTTCTATTCTGTCATCCATGTCTGGTTCGATTTGGTCTGTCGAGTTTTGTTGATGTTTGCCTTTCTTGTTTGCACGATTTAGTGCCTTGAAAACTTTCTCAGGATCTGATAATGCTTCGAGCAATTCACCAATTCTCGAGGACTCCCTAGGCATGCACCTGTAACACCCAAGACTACAAACGTTAAAATTTCAATGTATTTGGTTTAAAATGAAGAAAATTGACTACACTAAGAATTCTAGCACTTCTTGTAGCTACAATTAATAACACCGTTAACTCCCCGGCAATGACGCCAAAATTTGATCACGCCCAACTATGCCTTATAAAAAGGACTAAGCGGTCGTTGCAAATATATTCAGGCTAATATGTCTGGAGTCGAATCCCACAGGAAATTAACCTATCAAATACAGCTACTAGACTCGTACAAACTCACACAATCAATCTTCAGAAATATTTAAGTAATAATTTGGATGTTTACTAACTAAATATTACGTAATGAAAATGCCACGATTAATAACTAACTACTAACGGGTTGTAGACAAGAATTGGAATGATCTAAGGTTCTGATTTCCCTTATTGTCGGAATCTTTTCCGCTACGTTTTCTATAAATTTGCCTAAGTCTTCTCTATCGATCACGAGCACTTTGACTGTCATAACTCTCTCCCGAGTCATTACCACAATTTACTAGACATATTCTCCCGAATTATGCTAGCTGGCATTAAGTACGGCTTACTCGGATCGCACCAAGGTTTCGTTATCCTTAATCTCACCTTTAAACCCTTTGTATTGATCCCTCATATACGTTAGGAGTGATGTTGTTCTACAACTACCTAAATATGCACTCTCTCCCGAGTAATACATACTAAATAGGCATAACCAATTGAGGGCCCTTCAATCAGCCACAATAATATTATAGTTAAACAAATAGAGAAAATACTACGGTAAATCTATATTAACGTAACAAGAAAATCATCCTTCAATAGGTTCCATCAAAACCTTAGATTAGGAGTTTAGCTACTCATACTCATAGTAACAATATCCAAAATATTTTGCATAATTAAATTACAAAGTAAGGATAAAGGGATGTAAAAATCGATGAGTGTAGCTCCTAACGGTTGTTTCACTAGCTATCCTTGCCTCCGGTTGTCAAGAGTCCTAAATACGTAGACCAAGTCCTAGTCAAACCAGGAGACGAAATAAGTCTTCAAAGCTCGGAATGTGCGTGCCTCAGACCTGGCCTCGCGAGGCATAACGCCAGCTTAAGCTCGCCTCGGGCCTGACGTCGCGAGGTATAACGCTTGCTTGAGCTTGCCCCGGGCCTGACGTCGCCAGCTCCCACGCGAGCTAAAGGACTCGCCCAGCCTGCTCTAACGCCTGACTTCGCTAGCTTTTCATTTATCGGCTGCTCACTTCTTTCTTTCTTCTTTTCAATTATTTTCGAGCACGCTTTAGACTTTAATTATTCCTTTTGTTCTACTTTTATCTCCAATTCACCTACACATAAAATAGACTCCGTTACGCGCAAATAAAGTATAATTTATCATTAAAGCATATAAAATGTAAGGCAAATAATGTGCTAAACTATGAAATTATAGCCACACATCACTCCCACACCATCACCTCGGGACATTTTTGGTGCGCCTCGCCCCAGGAATAGCCCCGAAAATACTTTTTAAAATACTGGTATGAGCACATAGTTTAAGAGTGCTAAATTATGAGGAATATAACCATAAATGCTTAGCATTCTTCGGGATATTAACACACCATTTTTATCCTACAAGAGAGGTAGAACTCTTTTCCGTTTGACATTGTCCAAAATACAAATGGTAGCTCTCTATGACCAGAGCAAGAAAATAATTTCTACCTATATTTCTACAAAAAAATCTAAGTCTTTCATGTGGAGAAAACACAAAACTAAAATCTATCTTGAAAATTAAATTGGCAATTCTCTCGTCAAATCTCTGGTTTGAAAGGGTAAAGGCAATTTCCAAGTTAGTCGGTTATAACTTATAAGTGGCCATGCTCTTATTATCGAAAAATTATTGGATAAAACTCAATTTCATTCTAATTGGATTGCGACTTTCAGGTTTTGAAAGGTGTAAAAATAAAAAGTAGGTAATGAATTATTGCGTATGAAACAAGCCACCTTAAATTGTAGTCAAACAATGCATATCTCCTATATTATTAACCAAAGATTTCCAATTCTAGTAAAAAATCATGGTAGGAATTGTTTTTCCAAAAGTAACAATCTAGACTGCTTTCGGACTGAGCTTGGTAATTAAAATGCTCATCTCAATGTCACGTAATATGACGTCTTAGAGTCCGGTTGGGATGAGTTTATTTTAAATGACTTTTAAAGTAAAAATCTTATGTTAGTAATTTTAGCTTTTGACTTGTTTTTATCAGTTTAGCTTAAAAATAAATACTTAAAATTACTTTTTATTTTATCCAAACACTACAAAATAACTATTTTGAATTGAAAATAATACAAGTACTCCAATTTCTATAAAAATAAAAAAAGAAAAATTAGAGATTCTATTTTCAATCTTGCTACAATACTGTATCTGCTCTAACTTTGATGAACAAATTTATTTGATGACTCTCTCACCGTACCCAAAAAAAAGATATTGCTCTTTATATCTAGTTTCTCCCTTCTGGCCCTACCTCTAAGGTCTTATGTACAAAGACCAAAACCCTTGCGCATCACAGCAGAGAGAACAGCTGAACTGAGCAGAGCGAGATCTGTTTGTGCCGGCAATGGCATCCACCTACTATCAATATGTCATATTGATTTTTCTCTATGTTGCATCCACTGCCACTGCTGATTCAATTCAAGGATGTGGCGGATTTGTTGAGGTGATTTTTTCTCTTACTACTTCATTATTCATCTGCTAAAGTTTTGAATTTGTCACAAAATATTCAGTCTTTGAGGCCTGTTGAGCTACTTTTTGGGAAGGGTTTAATGTTGATTTCAAATCGGAGATTGAAAAATCTTAGGTTTAGAGATTCTGAGTAATTTTTTTGATTCCTTTTTTAATGTCAATTGATTTTAGTAGGTGAAGAGTGTGTCACTGATCTGTTTTTTTTATTCTTTTTCTTTTTCTGCAGGCGAGTTCGGAACTGATCAAGTCAAGGAAGTCAAGCGATCCGAAATTAGATTATTCTAATATCATTGTAAGGGGCAACTATTGAAAATATGATAATCCATAATTGTTCTCCTTTATTTAATTCTTTCACCTTATGGTTAGTATCAGTCAAATGCACATTAACTTTGGACTAGCTCTGTGTTGTTTTTCATATTAAAAGGAGTGCTATCTCCTTTCAAGTTGCTATTCCTTGAGGTAGGGTGCTTTCGGGGAAAGTTGGAGTTCTATTATGCTATCGCTGAAACTAAACCTAGGAGCTTGAGCATTTATCATATGTTTTCTGTTTAACGTTAAAACATATAAAAGTTAAATAAAGTTGGAAATTTATATAATATCTCCTAATGATGATTTATTTATTATTCATATACTAAAAAATTATTGGTGAAGGGAGAAAGAGGTCAATTTTTATCATCGTAAACCATAAGTTTGTCCTCTTTTTTTTGGTAAGCATAAATCATGAACTCTCGACCGTTAACCCACTGTCCTTTCCTTAAAAGATCAAGTGTTGTTTTTATTTCACCATTGTTTGGCTTTATTATATGCTACTTTTTCCTTATATATGAAAATAAAAAATTCCATAGGATATTAGCCCCGTGCTCCAGGGCCTATGCCTTGCAGCCGTAGCTTAAAAAGGGTGGCATTTTATGCATGCTGATTGGGGTCGGCGTTTTCCAATTCATCTTCTCAAATTAATGGTGTTGAAGAGTTATTTATATACCCTGTTCCTGTTGACAGGTGCTGTAGTATGCCACTATGCCTAATATTTCTCAGTCAGCCATCGCGAATTTATGCATTACAGTGCTTTTAATTAAATCCGTAAGGATAACACACTAGAGTTTCCATTGACATGTTTTTCTAATGCAGGTTGAGCTTCGCACATTGGATGGCTTGGTGAAGGAAAGAACACATTGTGCACCTAATGGCTATTACTTCATTCCAGTGTATGATAAGGTACGTCTTCTAGATGGTACTGAGTTGCACGTTTTCTTCGACAAGCTTATGTTTTTTCCGTCTTTCTTGATAAGTCAACAAGCTTATATGTCATTTGGTGCTTTGAGGATTATGGTGTACTTTAACCGCCTTGAAATTAGAAGGTTTGTTTCCGCTGCAAGACAGCTAAATAGCCAATAGCCAAACACGCCGGGCTAAAAATATTTAATGTACACAAGGCACTGAGATCTCACGAGGAATAAGTTTTTTAACCCACGATATTAAAGTATTTTTTGCTGGATGGGCAATGTACGTGTTGTATAGATCGTATAAACTTTAAAGATGGGGTACACATGGCTTTTTTAGTGGAAGATGGATTGGATGCGCCTTGCATTAACTTTAAAGATGGAGTACACATGGCTTTTTAACTTAAAGCTCCCGTTAGAGAGGCTACACTTTCATTTAGCTTAATTATGTCTTCAACTTCCCCCTTCACTTGCGGACTTGACTCTTTTTCATAGGCCATGCATGTGTAAATGTTTTTGATAAATGGGTGGTGGTGAAATTTGAACCAAGGTTTCGCTTGCTATGGTACCATGCTGAATTGTGTGACTGCGTCATTTAAAACTTAAGTTAGAGAAGATACACTTCCGTTTGACTTAATTATTTTGTCAACAGATGTGTTTCAAATGTGTAACTCACATACGGTCTCTCCTTTGAGTAATTTTCGTTGGAGCTGATGCTCTAAAAAAGTTCCAAAGTTGCTTCTGGAATTGAACTACTGCGTCCATTATCCCCTCTTTCCCTTCGTATTCCGTGTTGTTAATCTGATCCTTCCATTGGAAATATATCTTTGTATGAATATTTGTCGTTGTGTGAAGAAATTACTATGCTGTTATAGCCTTCCTTCTGTTTTTTTGGTAGGGTAAATAATTTTATTAATAATGGGAAAATTTTCTGTATACAAGTAGTATCCCAAAAAGTAAAGAATCTACAAGATAATATGATTATCTACAAACGACACCCAATTATATGTAGGGCGCACCAAAATAAAGCTACGAGTGAGGCTATTCCATTGTCGGTCTTATACCATCGAAAACTCTCCTATTTCCTTACTTCCACAGGACCCACATGAATGCTAGTGGGGTAACATCCCAGGATCTTCAACTTCTCTTCCTTTTTCTGAATTTCCAGAGGGAGATTGCCTCTTTCACTATTGCCTCTTTCACTATTGCCAGCGCCCATTGCACCCGGAGTCATCTCAAAATCTTGCACCACAGTGAATTGCCACCAACAATATAGGAGGTGACCCACATCTTTCAACTAAACGTTTGCACATGAAGCACCAGCTTATATATGTTATCCGCCTTTTTCTCTAATTTTCAACCCCCTAGCTGCCAACTAAGAGAAAAACCACACCTTCTTGGTGTCCTAGCCTTCTAGGAATCTAAACCTATATGCGTGGAAAACTCGACTCCTTCCTCACCGAGAGCTTTATGATTATATAGCTTTACTGAAAACAATACATCTCTTCCCACCCTCCACCTCCATGAGTCTTGTCTAATATAAGATGTACTCTGCTTGTAAAGAATTTCAACCCGGCCTTGGAATACAATTACTTCTCAATCTTGAAGGTTCCTTCCGGCCATTATGTCCTAATGAATAAGAGAGTTTTTGAGGGAATAGAGAAGAATTTTGTACACTTGAGGAGTAGCCTCTTATCCCTTGTTTCTTTTTGCTGCACCCACGACGTTCCTATAGGTATAGAAGATTGGGCGTCATTTGTAGAAAAACATATCCTTTTCTAAGGTTTCTAGTTTTTTGGTTTATTTCTTGTATGTAGGTGCCTTCTCTTGCCCATTATTTTTATAAAAATCTTATTACTTGATCAAAAAATGAACACCCCCCTCTTATAAACTGCGAATCTATTGTTGTCATTTCCTTATGGTTTGAGATACTGTAACTGTTTGGGAATGTGAGTTTCCACACCACTTGTTACTCCAAAAGCTGATTCGACTTCCATCCCCCGAAGGTTATATTGCCAATATAGTTTTCCCATTCTTTCACAATACTCCTCCAAAGTGCACATCCAACGGGAAGTTTGATACTTTTTTGTCATCCATCCTCCTTCAGTAATACATAATTTTCTGATATCACCTCCTCTCCATAGAGTATGTTCTTCAATCTTGGATCTCTATAACCCTTTGTCTAATGGGGCTTGTTGGAAACTTGAAGATCTTTCAACGCAAGACCCTCCTTCCTCTGGAGTTGTAATGTCCTCAGTTGACTAAGTGGATGCTGAATCCCATAGAAGTTCCTTTGCAGCCTTTCCAGTTTACTTGTGACACGGGCCGTTACGTGAAGCAACAACATAAATTATGTAAGGATGCTCAACATGTGTTCTTATCCTCCCTTTCGACATCTACCCTTTTTGGTCATCTTGCTAGCCTCTTCTCAACTCTCTTAATCACCGGCTCTACACTGCTTGGTTCTTATTGAGTTATTGGAAGCGCCTGATAATACACCAAGATAAGTAGTTGGAAAAGTTCCAACCATGCAATTGAGCACCTGTGGTAGATTTTCAATATTGTTCACTTCACTCACCTGAATGATCTCATACTTTATAAAGTTGATCTTGAGACTTGGCACTGTCTGGAACCATATAAAAACCTTCCTAAGATAATTCAGCTAGTTAATGTCCACGTTACAGTAAATTTTCTCACTCTTGATTCTGCATCAAATACACTTCTTGTGCTGTTAAGATTCTTCATAGTTGTCCCTTTAATTTTTCCATTGACACCTCTTTCCCTGTCCCCTTTAATTCATGCAAGTCCAAAAGTCTTTTTGCATGTCATAGTCTGGAGTTAGGGAGGGCTTAAGGTTCAGTATATATGAGCCAATTTAGACCTATTTTGTTTTCCATTCACAGCCTGTCGTGTTGATTTTTATCTGCTTCTGATCTTTGCCATCAGTACTCAGACTTCTCTTGTTTTCTGAGGAAATAAAAGAATTTCTCACATTGTATTTTAATCATTTTGCAGGGTTCTTTCTTGATCAAAGTCAATGGACCGGAGGGATGGTCGTGGGATCCTGAACAAGTGAGTGTCTTCAATCTTATGCTGATGATAATATGTGCTAATATGCACTTTTTGTTGATTTGCTAGCAGCTCAATATTAGTCCCTTTTTTCCTTCTTCCGAGCTGGTGTATCTGACTGAGGAAGGATCTTTCTGTAGGTACCAATTGCAATTGATCATACTGGTTGCAACGGCAATGAAGATATAAATTTTCGGTTCACGGGGTTTGTCCTTATTCTTTTAATATTGAAATAAGTCTTTGAATCATTTGTTCCATGAACGAAGAACAATGGAGAGGAAACATTTCTCTTTTACAATGTTTATATTGTTTCCTACTTAGCTTTATCATTTGAATCATTTCCTTGAGTCACTGCTTCTGCAGGTTTACTGTATCTGGACGAATTGTAGGAAATGTCGGTGGGGAAAGTTGCTCTCTGAAAGATGGAGGCCCATCAAACGTGAAGGTTGAGCTTTTATCTCCCGCAGGTGATGTTGTGTCTTCTGCGTTATCAACACCCAGAGGAATATACTCCTTCACGAACATTATTCCCGGTAGGTAAATGTTACCCAAAAAATTATTTGGTTGTATTTTATAGTGCATATATTTGGATGGGAATACAAATCTATAATAAAGAAAAATACAAATCTATGTGTTAGATGGAGCAACCACATGATTCTGATGTTTTTTTTTTTGATTATGAATAGGTAGTTTTCATGTGTGCTTAACATGCAATAATTCTGCTATAAAGCTCACTTTGTACCTATTTCTTTTCTTTCACTTTGTACCACTTGATCTTCATTACAGGGAAGTACAGATTACATGCATCTCGTCACGACTTGAATGTTCAAGTTAGAGGATCTGCCGAGGTGCTTTTGAGTACCCCATGTTCTTTGGATTAGTATTTCTTCTTTCCGTATAATCACGTAGACTTTGTTTACCATATCTTCTTCCTAAATTTCTGTACATCAGTTAGGAATAAGGAACAGTCATTTTGTCTCTTTCTTTTACCTATAAAAAAAATAAGGAACAATAATTGAATAATTACTTTTTTCTACCATGTTTGTTCTCATTGCAGATTGAGTTGGGTTTCGAAAATAGGATAGTGGAAGACTTCTTTTTTGTCCCTGGTTATGATATTCGTGGATCTGTGGTTGCTCAGGTGAGTTTCTCTAGTAATGAGTCGATCTCTGTCTCTGGTTTAAGTTTTATATTATGGTTTGCTGCTGCGACTTGTTACAGTACCTTTTAATTTTGTGTAATCTGTATTTCGTAGTGATTTTACTATGAACCATCTTTACATACAATTCAAGACAAGACATTGCTAAAAGCCTAAAAGTGACTAGAGGTATTGGACTTGTTACCATCGAATGAATTTGCACCTACATATGTCTTCCATCGCATAGTTAAGGTGCGGAAAATGCGGGAAGGAAGTGGAGATCTCAAGAGCCAAGGGTCATTTCTTCCTCTAGTGAGATGTGCGAGTGAAATCCGCACTTCTTTATGAGACGATATTGTATGGCTACCTCCGTATCAGAATGCAAAATTAACATAAAATGGTCGCATTATATTTCAAATAGGTTACTTGGATATTGGTTTTTGAATGATGAGGTAAAGGAGAAGTAAAGGAAATGAAAAATTACTTTCTTGCACCGTGTCACGGGCTTAACTCAAGTAAGCAACGTGCGGACAGCTTGATAGCCTGTATGCTACTCATAGCTTCAGTCCTAACCAAGAAATAAGCACAAAGTCGTGCTTAAGCTAAGGCAATCACACAAATCAAAGGCTTGAAAGATAATGAACTAAAAGGCACACAAAGATTGGGAGGCCAAGGCTAATTTTCGGATTTACTTGATATGCAAAGGGAATTGCAAAGTATATGAGATCTGCCTTCTAGCAAGGCCTATACAAGTGTATATATACTAAGAATGTCCGCTGGCAGACTTGGTGGCAGTGGATCCGTCCAGCTGTTGAGCCCAACTTTCTGCTAGCATGGTGACCTCCATGATTATGTTGGCAGGCTATGGGATTGTAGTCCTACCCAGCTGTGCAACACTTGTTCCTGCTGTCAGAGAGTGGCCTTCATGATTGTCTTGGCAGGCTGTGGGACAGTGGCCTCCATGTGCAAAGATTCTCTGGTCTTTAGCAGCCAGGTTTGACTCGGCTTGTGGCCCC